TTATATGTAAAATATTTTTTCCCGAAAATGGCAGTTCTATATTTTTTAATTTTCATTTTAATGATTCTAAATATAACAAGAAAAAATAAATAATAAAAAAATAAGAAAGTGATAAATAATTATATTAAGTTTTTGTCAGATTTATAGCAGCACAATTTGATATTGTCAGATATTATAAATTCTGTGTGAATGCCTTTCCCACAAAAACTTATAGCAGATTCTAATGAAAATCTGTTTTGTTAGATTTAGCTATCTGGAAATATTCTTTTCTGATTAAATAGAAAACAAATACTTGCCTTCACCAATAGTTGTTATGCCGTAGGTAGAATCGGTGATAGGATATCGCTTATTTGCTACTAGAACATCAACATCAGTCGGTTTCATAAAATCAGATTCGACTCTGCATAACTTTGAAGTATACCCATTATATATTATTAAGCCAGTCCCTTCCACGTCTCCCATGAATACCTGATTGCAATTTTATTAATACAATTCTCTCTCTCTCCCTCCTTCTCTCTCTCTCTCTCTCTCTCGTACTAAACAATTTTTTTTAAATAGGAAGTACTAACAATCACATTATCCTTCACATTTTGACAATCCGCGTCAGAAATAGCAATTGTAGATATCAATCCGTGGTTAGTTTTATTATGAGCAATGTTAAATGGAACAATAACACGTTTAACCAATTTATCAGTTGATAAATCGAAGATTAGTAACTGCGGTAAGCATAATTGGTTCTCCCCAATTCTTCCACCATCCACAACGAATAAATGATTGCATATAATCTGAGATGATAAAAATATGCAAATTATTTTATATTTTATTCTTATTATATAAATTGTTGGAAACGCAATATATAATTGTTAACATCCAACATACTGTTGGTCTTAAACGCAACAATCGAATGTATAAATTGTTACTTAGATAAAAGATATTAATAATACTAACTTCTATTTGATAAACACCACCTGTAATTCCTTTACAATCATCTTTATACCAAGACCAATCTGGATATGGACGCAGAAGAGGTCCACCTTCTCCTTGTTTCTCAGTTACTGTCATCACACCAAGTGGTATGCTATCGTCTCTTATCGCCGTAATGAATACT